AGATGGTGATGATGATGGTGACAGCAGCAGCTGAGAACAGGAAGCTGTAGAACAGGAAGTGAACCTGACGCTGCTGCCGACGAACCTCTGGCTGGTCTCTGGCTGGTGTTCCACCTGCAGGGAAACACACAAAATCAAATATTTATATATATCGCTATCAATTATCATTATTCCTCTTTTTTTTAAAGCAGATTCTTCTGACATGCTTGCTGCCACATTGTCACCATTTTTTTTTTCTCCTTACAGTGCATGACCCACTGATGAAGGTGTAACTTCAGGTGCTGCCAAATCAACCAGGACTGAAATCTGCAAGAACATTCACTTGTGGTTTCAGATATAAAGTGTGAGTTTATTTTCTGACCTTTAAACCTGAGCAGGTGGTTGATCAGTCGGAGCTGCTGGTTGCTGGTGTTAAACTCTCCAACCAACACACCACTGCTGCCTGCAGACACACACAGTACTGAACATGTGCATTACTGTGTATTACTGTGTAATAATAGTACAGAGCTGATGCATGACGCTAACATCACCTTGGAACTGGATCAGCTCGATCAACGTCATTCTCTCCCCGTGTCTGAAAGAAACTGGACCCTGAAAACGCACCGATGTTATAATCATTATCATCAACATGTAGGTGACATAACATTAAACATACTGCTGACAAAGAGAGAAAGAAAAGTCAGTCCAAACATACACCTACAAACACACCTACAGCCCACTAATTAACATGACATGAAACAGTTAAAACCACAAACTAATGTTTTCACATCTCTGTGTAATTAAATAAGACGTACAACAGGTGTGTTTCTGAACTTTAGCTGAGCAGCTAGCTGCTTCCCCATTAGCTTACAGCCTTTATGCTAAGCTAGGCTAGCCACATCCTGACTCTATCTCCATGATGTGTTCTCATCTCAAAATGTTGTTTTACTCCATCATCAGTTTATTTAGCCCTGTGTGTGTTCAGGTATATGTTTCAGGTGTCTGTTTCAGGTGTGTTTCAGGTATGTTTAGGTGTATATCTCAGGTGTGTTTTGTTGTGTTTCATGTATGTTTCAGATCAGCTCACCGTGACTCCTTGGAACTGCGAGCTCTTCAGGGCCTCCACCAGCGTCCTCTCCGCCGCCTCCTCGCCAACCGTCACGTTCCGGCTGTACTTCTGTCGCTGTTTTTGTGCCTCCATGGCCTGAACCAGAGCTCGGGCTGCGACCCAAACAGCATCGTAGGCAAAGGAGTGCAGCGGGCTGAGCTCAGAGTTCTGGTCCAAGTGTCGCAGGTACGTGTCCTGGTAATCCTGGGGAGTCTGCAGGACGACATTCACAGCTGATTCTGGTTGATTTCATTCTCTGTGGGTCAGGCTTACTTCTGTTCTTCTGCTGTGGAGATTCAGGGAAACTAAACTCTCCTTGCAGCTTTACAAAAAACACAGATGAGGAGCTGAATCAAATGGAGACACAGATTTTTGGCAGTTTGGACAATTTTATGTGTTGTTTATATTATATTTGTGATTTTTGAACACGTTTTGAGTCCTTTTGGACACATTTCAGGTCATTTGGTACATTGTTTTGTTTTTTTGTTTTTTTAAGCGCTGCAGTCCACATGTTGCTGATCCCCCGTCACAGTCAGCAGCTGAGTTTTTTCCAGAAAGTTTGATTCTTAAACCTATTCAAGACTTTTGGGGTCTTTTGGACCAGTGACAGGTATTGCTTTTTTATTTTTGAAGATTTCTCTAAAAAAATATATAATAAGAGGGACGTTTGGAACCAAAAATACATCAACTTGTCAGAACATTCATTTAACATAGTATTAAAGTCTATAATGAATACCAACAAATATTTTGCACATATTCTTTCTTGGGGTCCAATAAACCCTGAAAGACCTTCTGCGAATGGCATCATGAAACCCTGAATAGGATTAAACACGATATGCAGAGTTTAGTATTAGTTTCTCTGAATCTCTGTAACAGAGTGAGTTAGTCTGACCCACAGAGACACATGATGAAGTAAACTCTC